TCGTCTAAAACCTTGACGAACAAAGCCCTAACAAGCAATTGCTGTTATGTACCAACAGAGGACTCATACTCCGTTACCCGCACAGTGGATGGCCGGCCCTATTTCCTCGCTCTCACTGACACGGCGGGTCAAGAAAGAATATCGTGGCTTATGGGCAGCATCAAACATAAGATCAGACGCGTTCCTTCTATCTACGACATTACGAACGCCCCCACTCTCGATGCTCTGGATTATTTCATGGACATGATCGACCTAGAAGCAGAAAATAGGCTAGAGAACAATCAGCGACTGATTAAACAACTGGGGAGGAGAAGCTCAGGGAAAGAGCGGGTTGCGGTGGGCATGGCTGCACCCGTGACCATTGTCGCTGGTAATAAATGCGATCTTAAAGACGCGCGAGTCGTTAGCGCAAGACAGGGTTTAGAATGGGCTCGGAGACGCGGGTGCGGATTCATGGAGACCAGCGCAAGGGAGATGGTAAACATTGAGGAGACTTTTGCCCGTAAGCCGGTTCTTTACCTTCTTTTGTTTTGGATTCAGACCTGCGGCTCACGCACTGATAGTGATCGTGCGCCGCGTTGTCGAAGCACGTCGCATCCATTATCTGCAACAATTCCCACCCAATATGCAAACTTCTCCGCCACAGAATTCGCGGCCGCCGATGGAGCGGACAACGTCGCAACTCATTGCGCACTCACATACTCCTCCTTTGACAGCTCACGAGCGAGCTTTAAGCGATGCTGTCTACCAGAGCCAGCACGATTCCTCTCAGAAGCAATGGCTCGGTATAGGGAGGGCCCTGTCAAAACGGATAGCGAAAATACGAAAGAACAGTGACACTCCCCCCTCTAATAGTCAGACACCAGCACGACGAAGGCAATCACAAGCAGAATCTTCCGCAGGCAGCGCAGCAAAGTCTTCCAAAAGAAGATCATCCACTGCACGAAGCAAGGTAAATACTGCTGACGTGCCACATGAAGCACATCAAAATGAGCCCAACCATTCTCGGGGTGATAGTCATCAAGCGCCGGAGAATGGAAACCCGGAACGCTGGTGGAAGCGACTTAATTGCGCTCGAGCTTGATTATTTTATTGTTCATCATAATGTTTAATGTGTGTCTCTTTCACTTGCTGCCCCTGTCATTGTCCAATTTTGACTGTAACTCACTACAAGATCTAATCTTTGCTTCTGAAATTCCTTTATTTCTATTATGAAGTGTTTCCTTTCTTGATATACCCCGTTTTGCGTTTTACAACAATATTAATAGTCCTTGAGCAGGACGGATCGGTGTCATTATATCCTTGGGATATGTTGCTAAATTCATGACTGGGAAATTTTTTTCGAACCATTTAACCTCGTTCAATTATTGGTCTTTATGACCGTTGATCACCTCTCAGTGACAAGATGATATTTCAGGCCGTTTTGGATTGAGGACACTTGGTGTTTTGATAATCATGACAGCCTGAGATAATATGAATTCTTTTTAATTTTATTGGCATTGTGTGTCGACGCATGTACAGATTTGAAACCAAAGCTTCCACTCCACCTCCTTCAGAATCACCCTTACACATCTCTGACCTTCAGCTTAACATAACCTTTAACGAGAAATCAATAATGCCCACGCCCTGATGAATGCTACTGGTTGACAGGATATCAACATCCTCACAAGCAAAGTCGGCCACATTGTCTTCCCTCAACCCCCCACTAACTTCCACCAGGAAGCTTCCCCTCGGTTTGCCTTTGGCATCCCACTCGTCTTTCAACTGCTGCGCAGCCTCACGCACGCCTTCTGGCGTAAAGTTATCCAACATCACAATATCCGCGCCAGCACCAATAGCCGCATTAGCCTCCTCAATGCTGCGGCATTCGACCTCTATCTTGACAGCGAACCCACCAGCCGCTCGAGCAGCATCGACGGCGGACGGAATCGCGTCTGCAATGGTTATATTCTCGCCGCTAGCAGTGTGGGACGCCCGATCCTTATTATAACATGCCCAGACGTGGTTATCCTTCAACATGGTCATCGAACTGAGGTCGTGACGGTGTGGATCAGCACCGCCTACAAGAATGCCGTACTTTTCGACGAGCCTGAATCCAGGGGTGGTCTTGCGAGTGCCTGCTAGGATGCCGTTCCACCCATGATATCGCAGAATACTAAGCAGGGATGATGTTCTGCGCCAAAAGAAAAAAAGCAATTAGATTAACGTAAAAAAGCCGGCAAATGAAGAGGGTTGGGGGGGGGAGGTGGAAAAGCGTACTTTGTGGCGATTCCCGAGCAGCGAGCCAATATGTTGAGCGCAACTCGTTCCCCGAGGAGCAATTTTCGCATAGGGCCTCTGACTATGGCGCAAACTGTAATCGGTTCGATTTTGTCTCCTTCTTTGACTTTCCATTCGACGCTGTGCGAATTGATATATCAGCTATACGTCATTGAAAGCGAGTCTCCATGGAAAAGCAGTTTGAAGAGGAAAACATACGTGCAGCCTAGTTGCGCAAAAACCTCATTGAAAAAGGGAACACCAGCTACCACTCCCTAAACAGTCGGTACAATTAGTAAAAGATATGTTTTTTCGGTTCCATTAGCTTATTTATGGATAGTTTCCCCGCACGAAGGGACAATTGGAGAGTTATTCAATGTCAATTGAAGAGCAGTCAACATGAGAAATATCCCCAGCCTCCGATAGAAGCTAATAGATCACAGATAAAAGGGGAGAGATCGCACATTACTCTTGCCCAGCAACTTTGCCTCGCCCTCAACCTCCCCAACCACGAAGCCGCCGTAATCTAAACTCGGACAATCCTCTTCCAACCAAGCGGCAATCATACGCTTATAGGTCAACGGTAGGAGATGGCCAAGGTCGCCGTGCTGAGCAGCCATGACGTCGTTTCTCTATTGCTGCGCGTTTGGTCTCTGCCCGGGTTGCGGTATGGGCGACGAAGGCGGGGTTGTGTTGTGGCAAGGTCGTTTCCCTGCAAAGCGAAAGGCGCAAAGAATAGAAAGGAGGAATTGCTTCTTAATGTAGGGGGAGGATGGAGTGGTTTCCAAGCCGAAATCTGAACGGCAGCAGCTCGGGAGTCCCAGAAGAGAAACAGGAGATCAAGCTGGAAAATCCCCAAATATTCCCGAACATGTCGCCAAGACAACTTTCGGGATTCGGGAAATCAGCACTTCTAGAACAACCTTAATTTCGAGCCTCGCGATGAATAAAAGTTTATTTCGAGCTCTGGGAAATGCATCACCGTCTCTTCTGATAGATATAAACGTGTGCTTTGTACCTGATGATATATATACATCAACCCCATCGCCAGAGACATCACATCGCCTTCTGATTATCGCTTCTCATGCTCATCAATATTGTAGCCGCGCAGCGATGACAGATATAATGCACTCGTGTCGGCTCCCTCGATATCACGGGACAATATTGTTTTTTGCCACAGGTCTTTGTGCGAACAAAAATCGTGTGGTCGCAAGAATGTTGATTGTAAAGCTGCCGACACATCGTGGGGGTTGGTGGGTCCCGAGATCCGTGAATGACTGGGGGCTCGGAGTGACGAGCGCTATTCGGTTCAGCTGAGCGTGAGCCTCTGCTCAGCGTGGTTCGATCTTGTTGACCGTATGAACGCCGGAATAGCTGGATACGGCGAGGATTGAATTGCGCATCAGCTACCAGGATCGCGAAGATTTTCGACAGAGAGCTTCGGACAATTAACGGTTTTAAGACACGTTTCCTGCGAGGAAGCCCTTTACAACCCGCCGATGAAAAGCTCGGGCCAGTACAGCTTGTACTCGTATTGACTGTTTGCTTTCGTGCTTGCTCTTCATCCTCGGAAGGCGAACTCGGAGCAAATACTTATATCCAGCCTGCGACAATCTTGTTCCAATAGACAATAGCAAGAGAAGTTGTCAGAAACAATGAAGATCCATCGATAGCTGAAAGGGCAGGCGCATTGTGTTCATCGCTTGTACTCTGTTACCTTGTCCGATCTAGAGGATTTTGGAATCTCGAGAGACTAAACGAATGGATGGCACCCTGATGCACGGTTTGCATCTTTTTTAGCGCAGCGTGCTCTTTGCTCAGCCATTCATGCAACTTCATCGAAAGTGGATGATGATGAAAGAAATATGCCTGCTTTCAGTAGAGTAGGGGAAAATCAGAATGGTCCTTTATTTTTCAAAGATTATCCACTTATTAATAGGATGGTAAGTCCTGTGCTCAACCTCAACCAGTACAAAGCGGGCAGGGACCGGACGGTGTGTAAAAGGCCTTCTTGTCAAAGTAGGACTCCATACCTCGTATTGTCGGCTCGGTGAGGACTGGAGTCTATTGCTTCCATGCTTTGTACAGTGACCTTGCACCCCAAACTTGACCTTTTTTCAAAAGGCACATACCTCTCCATTCCGGCTTGTTTGGAGCGTTGACATAACGACTAGGCTCTACACAGAACCCTGACCTCGGGCCACGGGCTGGCATTCCACGCACTGCGGGCACATTGATATACTTCCCAGTATAGAACTGAAAGGCGGGCTCCGTGCTATGGACCTCGAGATGAAGGCCCGTTGTCAGATGTTTGAAAGAAGCAAGGAGTTTCATGGGGCGAGTTCGAGTGTCTAAAGGGATCGACGACGGGTCGGTATCCATGACGAAACAATCGTCAATATCCGGAGACGTCTCGCTCAAGAAAAACGGTTTCTTGACTTCTGTTGCAGTGTAATGCTCAATCGTACCGGTGGGGATACCCTCAGGGTCTGTAGGGAGGTACTTATCCGTTTCCAGTACAGCTTCGGTCCCCTCAATCGTCGGACATTCACCAAGATTGAAGTAACTGTTTGTTCAATGTTAGGCTTGCTTCTCCTTGAAAAACTAGGGATAGTCAACTTTCCTATGATTCGTTACCCCAACGACAGTCTCTTCGCACTCATCGCCCACAAACTCGACTTCATAATCGACCTCCAGAACAGTTTTCTCCGGCTTACCCTCCTCTACTTCCTCAGTGGCAGAGTACCAAACCCTCAGCTCGACTGTCCCGGGGTATCCTTCGTCACCATGCCTGCTCAGATATTTGAACTCAAAGCCTTCCCTGTCATGTTTCTTCACGGTATTCGGACCGTCAAAAAGTTTAGCATTCCATCCGTCTCTTCCTCCATGAAGGGAGTGGGGACCTCTTGCAGTGGTCACTTTGTAGGATCTTCCATTAACGTTACCAATGGTCGCGTCCTTTAGCCGGTTAGTAGTGCGGCCGATGGTAGCTCCAAAATAGGGAGCATTGTACTTTCGATACAACTGCTCTGTAGGAAAGCCAAGCACGATGTTATGGCCGGCCACGCGAAACTCTTGGACGATAGCACCCAGCGAAAGGAATCTGAACGCCGCCTTTTCCTCCAACGGAGACATCGTGGGGACGAGCTGTGTTCAATACAGAGTATAGCTCTGGGGGGTAGACTCCGAAACGGGCAGTTCAATCAACAGCAGAGCTTTTTGGTTAACTGATTATCTGATGCGGTTACCTGGCAGTGCCTGTGTGTTTCGCCAGGTCTTTTGGCCGTGTTGGTTGCTTGTTGATCACTCCAGGGTTGGATCTGATGTCACCATCTCCTTTCTGTTTGCCCTGTTTGCACCCACGTCCACCTCCAACTTGCGCTTGCCAACCTCGTTCCATCTGAGACGGGCCGACATTGGAGCGGATTTGAGAGGCATGCTTGACCACACACGGAATATGGACTGTACTACGAAGGTCGCCGCCATATGTTTTGGTCCTTCAGTATAGGGGCCTCTCCCAAGCCGCGCTGCTTAGCGGTCCTTAACTTGTAGGGCTGCAGAGACCAACCCCCCTTACCCCCGCAAGATCACCCCTAAACTCAAGCCTACGAACGCCCGAAAGTGTGAATTCAAGGGGACCAATATTTATTGCGGCGGCCTCCGTAGAGGTTTGGAATATACATATGGTACAAATTGATATTTCATTTGTTCACATCTGCTTGCTGCGCTGGTTGAATACCAAACTCAATCCGTCATTGCGAAATCACAACACCATCGTGCACACATCCTAGATCGGCAGTTTAGGAGCTTCCACCACCGCTGGCAAGCCCACCTTTGTGGCCTGCCTCTTTTGCGCGTTCGCTTCCTGGCTCAAATGACCCGCTCGAAGCATGACCTCCCTTCGAGGCAATTTCGCGCTAGAAGTATAACCGTTAGCAGGAAAGTTATGATATCAATTGGGCAGAACGAGACGGGGGAAGAACGCACTTGTTTATCAGGGTCCATGCTGGCAAACCCGCGGTTGCTTGTGTCTCCGCTTGATCCTCCATGACTAGCCTGCCCGCCTTTCTTTCCGATTTCAGAAACCTCTTCTCTGGGGCGGTTGGCAAAATTGCCGGGATTGGTGTTGTCGGTCATGTTGATCAGTGTTTTGTTAACGAAAAGGGAATGTAGAGAATGGTTCAGGTATATGACAGGCTTGTTGGCTTCTTTCAGAGTCTTTTGTCTCGTTCTGATGTAGCAAATATAAGCCCCGGAGTCTCAGAATTGCAGGGCTTTATATAGACGTCGCTGAAGCTAGCGCCTGGCAACTATTGCAGCGCCCCTGACGTTACCCCAGTGGAAATCTTGATTTGACCACAAGAAGAAATCCAGGCCAGATGGTTTCCGATTGGGTTGATGCCTTCAAGAAACCACCAGGCCAACTAAATGCTCTGGGGAATATGACATGCGCCAAGAATCATGGAGTGCGAAGCTGGGTTCGAATTCGAAGCTCATCAATGGCGAAGATTGACCTTCTGGCAACCAAGAAACAGCTCAAATTCGCAACTTCCACGGCAATGTCCTGTCATAGCTATTCGTCGTTGTCGCCACCGCGAGCGGAAGTCTGCTGTTGATCCAAACTAGATATCGCAGAAACCGTCATTGGGACCTAGCAATTGAAGCCATGAGGTTGCACAACGAGGATTATGCGGTTTCGTCACAATCATCTGATTTTGGCAAAGGTGTCCCATTACCAGTTGGGCCAGGGAAACATAGCAGCCTGCAAGGACTTACACGTCCATAACAGTCCTGGGTTCCTGCAACTTGCAAGTAAGAAGAGCAAGGTTGGTAAGATAAGTGACAACGTTGCCCAGCACTAGTGTTAACATGGACAAGGAGCATATACTGATAAATGGCAGATTTTGTGAATTTCATGTTTCCCAGTGGTTACGCCGGTACGGGGGAAATTGGGACTCTAAGCCACCCTTCAACCGGCAGACATTGCACGGCCTTTGATTGATAGTAGACTGCAAGACTTCAGGGGGTACCGTCAAAGTAGACAAAACATGCCCACAATGGTTAGATGATATGGTCAACGCGGAGAGATTCTCACTCTTCCCGAGCACAGCCACCTCCCATCACTAGACGCGTCGGATGCAATGACAACTCAGGGGTAAGTTCACTCTGAACAGGATGGAAGCCACCGCGTGTACGCAGAGGTACTCGCGGCCGACCTGGCCATGGCCCGATCTCAAAGCCCTGCACTGCCTCGTGAACTGAAAGGACGTTGCTCATCATGCGCTACAAGGCAAGACTATGGATGCTTGGGACAGGAGGAGCTGGGGACGGGAAATATGCGCTTTGACGAAACCTTCAGCTGGATTTAGTGAGCAGTTGGGGAGGGTTTTGGCGAGCAAAGCCCTAACTCAATAATGAGGACTGAGCGAGTCTGGCAATCAATTATTTCCTCGGATGCGCAGAGAATGACTTCCGTCACAGAAGTTGTCATAGAGCAAAAGGCTCAGATCGCGACAGTTGCCGCCCAGTGATGTAACTATCATTAATCCATTCATTCCTTCTTCCAGCTACGAAATCCTGCGAACACAAGCTACGCTGTTCAACTAGTTAGCCCCAATCCAACTCCCCGGGGAGCGGTGAATCCCAGGTTCAGTTTGTTGCAACTCTTACAGTGCTAGTGATAGACGCGTGCGTTATTTTCCCCAGGCGTACATACAGATTCGTGTTGCTTGCTTGCTTCACTGACTCCATACTCAACTTCCGCTAAAAGCCGACCGGGTAAGTTATGATGTCTACCATTTGTAAGGAAGGGAACTTCCAGCTAGCGGTCAGGTTATATAAACTCCTTTGACGGCGGTTTACCCCCTTGCTCAGACCAACATAAGACACCAATTTGCTTATCTGGTTAGTTTCAATCATGTGGACGAGACGTCGCAAAGCATTACCGCATGACTACTGGCCAGATCCAGGGCCGATATATTGTTGGCTTTGCGGTGAAACTTTAGAGCTTGTAGATGCGTGGGCAAAAGCGACGCCACCTCCATTCATTTGTGACAGACCCGAATGGGAGGAAAGTTGGCGGAAATCGAGGGAAAATCCAAGGGCGCGAAAGCACAAGTTCTCTCTTTACATGAGAGCCTCTGATATCAATTTCCAGTTCCGTGAGCCCTTGACATGGCTCGGATTATTTCGGATCAGTATGTCCGCACGCACACCCAAGTACTATCTGACTTCTGCTGAATAAAGGCGCAGTTGTTTTGAGCAAGGAGGACAACAAGTATCTCCCCCGTGGATATCACCTCTCAGGAATTGGATACATGCCAGGTGCACGGATTCCGGGGGATTATGTTCTTGCAGGCCGAGATCCAGGCACTGCGTGTCTTGGAGCTGGGAGGCAGAATTCGGAAACGCTTGTAAGATGACAGAGATTGGATAGGGCGGGTTTCAGCCAGATTGAACCGAGGGATGGGTAGAATTCGTGGCGCTCATGGTTCTGTAGTTTGGGTAAGGATTTGAGCAGGGCTATTGTAAACATATGGGCTTTAGGGCAGTTAGGGAATACCTGTACATCCAACTCGCCGTTCCCTTCATTATGCTCATTCGCAATGTTCAATCGCGGCGACTGCAGCCCTTCCGGGACCTTCTGGAGCTTCTCAATCTCTTCCTCCTTTTCCGAATTAACGTTACTCAAGTCCTGGAACCCCAGCTCCTGCGGTAGATACGTGGGGTGCGGCTAAGGGTGTAGCCGTTAGTCACAGGATGCGGTACTAGCCTCGAAATTTCATTGGTGATGGAGGTGCATTTTTCTTCAGGACTGGAGCCTCCAACCCCCTTGCGAGCATCTGATTCTGTCTTCGCTCCCACTGGTGTTTGCCCTTTTAAACGAACCATGGAAACTGCAAGCATTTATATTTTGAGCTTTATTAAGAGATCAAGCAACATCAAATCTTGTAATTAGTGACGTCGTCTTGGCCAACATTGTAGGTCCATGGCATGGTACATTATAATAGCCTGGATATGTCAATTCAGTTCTCTACCAATTCAACTACTATTTCAATGGACATTCAAGACTTCCTTGGACTGAACACTGGAAATTCTCAATTATTCCATTTTACCATAGCACACGATGGAATCTTGGAGGACACAGTTTTGTTGTGCATGTGGCACTGTTGTGGGTGGCCTGAGTGAACAGTGGGTTGAACATTTCCGCTTGCCTGCTAAATCAATGGACTGGTTGAATCATTTTAGGGCGTGTATGTTGAGAACACATCACTAGCAATCAAGAGAAGATGAGCAGACACTTACAGGCCAACAGTTATCGAGCAACCCGACTCTTCATATAAATTGAGTGGGGTGGGCGTCTTCGAAATGTTCGATGGTAGAGCCTTTTATAAAGTACCACTTGACCCTGAGCTGGAGATGCACCGACCAAATGCAAAGCGGCCATCAAGAATGATTCGCCTTAGTTGTTGTTGCCTGTTATCCAAGAGATCAAACTTCTGTGGAATAAGGCGCAAGTTCCGGCATAGCTTCCTCATCCATGTCTGTTGTTGGGACTGGATTAAGGACCGTTTTATCGGCCCCAGAGCTCTGCAGGATGTAGATATTCTGGTCTCGGCCATGAGACGGGTGTGGAAGGAACATTTCCCTTTGCCACCATACGAGCTCCAAGAACACATCGACACTGACGGGCTGTTCGGTTATGAGTGGGTCGGAGATATGCGTGCAGGACGTCCAATATTCGGTCAGATAGAACATCTGAACATCGGCCCGGCCTTTACTGCCCTTGAGAGATCCACTATGCATACGAAACCTTAGACGCTCGTAAACCGAACCAGGCAACGGACAAGGCAGCTGAAAAGGGATCGAATTCGCGGGATATACACAGAAGGTGCCAGGAATACACGTCAGCCAAGTAGAGCGAGCACGTCGACTGCCCCCATTCAGCGTTTGCCTATTGATATTATGGAACTCCATCCTCGATGAACTCTCGACGAACCTGCGGGATGCGTCCAACGCCGTCGACGCCTTTCGACTGGCAAATGCCGGACCAGTGCTGGAAACGGAGGCTTTCAAAAGCTTTTCTTGACGCAATCATCGAGCTCGATCCACCGAACGGATCAAAGGCGCACAGCGGTGACGTTACCCGACGAACTAGACTGGCGCACGTTTTTCATTGGATTTTCGCGTCTGTCTAACAATTCTTTGCAGGCACTGTTGAATAGGGTGCGAATATTCACAGTCCTAGAGAGTATTCGCAGTTCGTTCTACGAAATCCAGAAAGCGAAGACGAATGAAATGGGGGTGTGAGAAATTGATACAATACACTGAAGGACACATTGGAGTGTGCCATACACAAAACAGCATCAATCTGCCACAATCTATGTACTCCTGTTGTAGTTTTAATTTCTATACGTCAATGTCAGTGTGCTTCGCCATAAGAGCACAAGGGGGAAGGCCAATTATATATGCCGTAAGCAGTAGGCACATTACTTGCGTTGGGTGTGCCGTTGGTTGTGCCACGGCACTCCGCTTCAACCCACTCATCCAAGACGGTGTGGGAAGGGCTAGGGATTTGGGAGCAGCCATATCTATTCCGGCCTCCCCACAGGAGTCGAGGCACTCTCAATATCCGGGCTGACTGAGAAGTTGCAATTATGTTATGGAGTTTGGACACCTGTTAATTCCCAGGCGTCAGTTAGGGCTGAGGCGACTTACCTGGATCTATATGTTCGCGGCGGAGGGTTAGGGAGCATAACGCAGTGGCAGCGGTGGGATGTTTGAGAGTTAGCGGGAACATGAAGGTAAAATACAAATGCAACAAGGAGATGGGGTTAGAAATATGTCAGACTAGGCCAAAGGAGTCAAATCACCATGAGAAGGATGGGGACTGGCAATAGCAAAGTCTTTTTAGTCTTGGATCGACTTCATAAAGGAGTCAATCCGCGTTCAGTGGTTTGGAAATCCAGTGGATGAGCTTTGAAGCCGAAGCCCCAGTGAAAACCCTCGAGCATCGGACGATGTTAGGTTAAAACCAAAGAAGTCAGAGCATCACTGAAGAGATGGAAACTGGCATTGGCATAACCGTTGTGATCTTAGGTCAACTCCCATCAGGGAAATTTACCTTAGCTCAATCCCTTGAAAATCCAATGGGTTGTAACTGTTAGGTTTCTCTCGGTCCGCCACCTGAAGCGATTTTGGCCCGTTCAGCAAAAGCTTCGCGTGCCAGCCAACATCCCCCCGAAACTCAACTATGCTTAGGATCGTCGGACTTGATTGAGAAACCTACGCAGGTTACCGGAACGGTCATTATCAGCATCAATCTCCCTGTAGTTGCAACGATGATCAACGCTAGTGCGAGTCACAGTCCAGGCCACTGCTCGTGTCCCAATACAGAGCATCGCTCTCATTGATGGCCGATGAGGGTTAGCTTGAAGTAGATTATGACAATAGGCAGTTACCTGATCCCTGTCTATTGCCGTGTTCCGACCCGAAGTCCTTTTGAATTCCACATAGAGCTTAGGAATCACCCGCTGCTCCTGGATTCTATAGAACACCACGTCAACCCGGCGCCGACTACCCGGTCGGGGTGGTTGCTCTGCAGCAGAATACAGATAAATTTCTGAATGAAACCACCTTTGAAACACCGCCGCCCAAAAACGATGGGTCACAGATTCATTCGCACGTCGAACCTTTGCTTCCTGGTAAAGGAAGCGCAGGTCGGCTTCGTTCGGCTGCCGCCTGATGAGGCTCATGCCGAATGCTAGAAAGGATAGAAAGAAGTAAAAGGAGCAATATGAACCAAAATAAAAAAGTTATATAACTGTTATAATGATGAGTTCTTGCTCAGGGAGGGAAGAAGGAAAAAGAAAGAAGAGAAGGGAGGGAGAGAGAAGAAGAAGAAGAAGAAGATGTGTTGTATCTGATGCGTTACCCCAGAGATGGTATTAGAGCGCGTTCATTTGAAAACAATGACACGAGCCATTTGCTTCTGTAATGGTCACAATACAAGATGCCAGAACTGAAAGCTCATTATTATCCATACTGCTGCTGCTGGAATTAATATTCAAAGCGAGCTGGTGAGCCAACTGGCCGGTAAGTCTGTCAATACAACAAGTTCAAGAATGCTTCAACCCAGCATCATATTACAGCTTTTCTGAGGTGTCCTGAAGCACATCAATGGTATTTGATCTGCTACATTTAACCCAGAAATTCGGCACTGGAGTAAAAGCCGGCTTCATATACACTCTCTACCAAATAGGTAAAGATACTTTTTCCCAAACACAATAGGGGTTGTGTTAATGAGGTATAAATGCAGGGTTTCTTAGCAAGCTCATGGGAGTAAACACTTCCCATGATCCCCATTGCCTTGAAGCCACTGGCGTTCTAGGAGTGGGACAGCAGTCAACCATAGTCTTGTGGAAGCTCGATACTAGTAGTAGGTTACTAGTATCCTTGCTATTGAGGTGCACCCAGTGTCAAGGTCACAAAGAAATCATTTGAGAGGCATCATGTATGAAGAGTGAGGATGTTGACTGGTAACTGTAGCATTGCTTGATTGACACTCTGCTCAGGTACCACAAACTGGCACAGTAGTCATGATGGACTTCCAACCCGGCTTCTTCTTTGCTTGATCTTTCTTACTATTCTTCATTTCCTTCTGCGGAGGAAGGAAATACCACTCCCAACATCCCCCGTTTTTTCCAAGCCAAAGGTACCAGGAGTCCGCATCTTCATTGGAACAACAATGCAGGTGACTTGGGGCCTGCTATAAACAAGCCCAACTTAGAAGGGCAAATAAAACAGCAACTAGCTATTTTTGGATGACGCTCGTAAATCAAATCTTTCACGAGGACGAGTGAAGGCCTGAGCGAGGTGGTTGTGTGGCCTTGAGCGACCACCTGACTCAGGGAGTCTACCGTAGATACTCACTGGGGAATGATCCCAATGTTATACATTGAGTTTAAGCGACCTTTAAATTAAAGAGCGCAGATAGACTAGTCTTCGCCAGACCAAAAAGATCACTGATATCATCCATGCTGTGTACTGGAATGGAAAACGTTGCTCACCTGGGGGGACAGACACCACTAGTGATACCCAGAAGCCTTGCGGAAATGAATGCCTTCTCTGCATTAACTCCCGGATCTCTGAACCATGGAGAAAGGGTCAGATGGAAAGCATACCTATCCTTCTCCTTCAACTATAGCCACCAGTACTGGAACCCTGAAGCAGCCGAAGGCTTATATGTTAGCTATGTGAACTGCTGTATAATGACAGATAGAACAGCCTGCCTCTCGCCTGACAGAGGGATGAAGGAACTTAATGAGAAGGACTTCATGGCCATATGGAGGGAGGATCCAAAAAAACTCTCCACCCAAAAGGCCCCCTCTGCACAAGGCTCAACGAGCAAGAAGCCCATATGGAAACTGAAGAAAGGAATGACTGATTATTTGATGGCAAGCCCTCCCAAGAGCCCCCTGAAATAGCTTAAGAGAGGTGCCTGCCGACAAAAAATATATATAAGGTGGAGTGACACAGTAGGAGGTTCGATTCCCCTAATCTGGTGCTGGTGGTTGAGTGTAACCCCTCCGGCTGGCGAGGTTAATCCGCGCCGAAACAAAAACAACAACACGCTGGAATGGAAAACGTTGCGGTGTGGTTGGTGGAAAAAGGCAGTATCAGGCCAAGCAATTCTGCTACCAACAATCAGGGACCCATCCGCCGTACTCTGAAGCTCCTTGCTGGACAATTCAAACTTCAATTTTTGTGGGAGACCACATCCTGTTGATGGGAGCAAACAGCTGCAATGGGTGCCAGCGATCAACATCTTGGCATTTCCGGCTAATGTTCATCCCGAGCTGGGTTGCGACTAGTTAACTAGTTAGTTAGTTAGTTAACGAGTTAAGTTACCCAAGAGCCGCCTCCCTCCCGAGTCCGGATTTCGCGCGAAAGCACTATTGATCGCTAGGGATAATGCTATTAGGACATTGAGCTACACTGGTGAAGGCATTACAGATTATGTATTCTCATCAAAAGATTGATGAATTGTTGGTATCCTCTTTTCAAGTCTACTGTTGTTATAGACACTCTGCTAGATTGTCAATAACTTGAGAGTAGTTGATCTGATGATTGATCTTTAAACTCTTCTGATTCAGTCAATTATTTTCATATTATATAAAATCAATTGATGATGCTGCAAGTTCTAACTTTAATAATAAGAAATTCTTGATTTCTTATGAAAAGATCATGAGAAGAGGTGGCTTCTTCTGAAGAACAACCACTTCTCTCCCTCATGGAGGCTGGGCCAGTGGGACTGAGATACCATACCTGATCCTGGCTTTCCTCTCTCATTTCCCTCCCATGGGACTGCTCAGTCGGGACATCGATGCCTGGGACGGAGCCCGGAACCCCGGACCTTCGTATATGCGGCAAGGTCTTCATTGCCGCACCACAGGCAAAGACTCGTATTTCAGGCCTTGAAACTGCGCTCGCTTTTAAAAATCATGCCTGCAATGCTGTCACACTTCCATTGTGCATCAGGGACCCCCTGCTCCGATACTGGATTCACTTATCATAAACTGTGTAACCCCTCAATACTCTTTTCGGCTGTTTGCAGTCCATCTTCAGTCAGCCACAATATGTAGCATCCTACTCCTCCTATAAACCCGGGTTTATTCCTCATCTCTCCCTTGTTATTCCATTCTCGTCAAATCTAACTAGCAGTTAAAGATGGGTTTCAGCACTTCTTCCAAGGAGATCTCTCTCCGACGCATCCCGAACGCCCATAGAGGCAATCCTATAACTAATCTGTGCGCTTATTGCAGAAGGGATAATGGGACATGGTGGTACAGTGAAATTACCCTCGACTGGAAGATGAGCTATGACCTTGAATCATATCGCCTTCGCTTGGACTCCGGGCCGATAGACCTAGTGGTGCGCGAAGCTTCGAACCAAGGGTGGCTCACTCCATGCATGGCTGATATTTCCCTCACTGCTGGAGGGTCCGTGTTGGTCTGCGAGCCGAAGTTAGGCCACAAACTTGCGCTGGCTCTGGACATGTTTTTCCATAATGACAACGGCAAGTTAATATATCAAATGCCGTGAGTTCCTCCTCCGACACTCAATGATGTTATCCTGATAAGAAATCATTACTAGGCCCCAGAATGTCCGGTCTCGTTTGCTTCATTTTCGAGTCAGCGAAGGCGGTGTCCTCAGTGGTTTTGCTCTTACCGTTCACGGTACACTTCAACACACGACGCTAGATCTGAATGAGCATCTCGCGAATCAAAATGGGTGCATTGTGCGGAAAAGAAATGGCAATTTCAGTTGGACTGCTAGGGACTTATACCTTGATGATGATTGGGTATTCAATCTCAGTTTACAGTACGAAAACCACACCTGGAACAATAATATACAATGCTGGGAGCTATTGGAAGAGTGGGTTAGTATCGATGATGATGGAATACTAACAATGCAGGAACCGTGGGTTTGATTTTGTTTCCCTTTTCCATTTATATTTATCAGGAACTAATTCCGTACTCATACGCGTAGTGCTGGTATATGGGACTTGCGGGGACCCTTTTTCAGGGCTTTGGAAGAAATTCCAGTGATAGGCTATATAGTTGCCGGTATTGATGCCATCAATGGTGACACTGTGAGTTGGTATTCAGAGAGTTAAGTAATGGATATATCACTAACTAGAGTGCTCTGAATCTTTTAAGGACGAGGCCATCCGCGCTGCTGCCGAATGCACCTACGGAACTATTGTGCTAGGCGTTGGGTTTGTTGCTGCCATTTTTTTCGGGCCTGTTGGAGTGGGAATCGCATCAGCAGTTGCGGGTTTTGCTGGCCTATATGCTAAAGCTGCTATTGGGCAGTACATCAGCGATCCTGCGATGCGGAATGAGGTGACTGCTATTACTATCTATCGAGTCCTCGTATCAGAGCTAGTAGTCATTGCAGGAGTAGGCATCGAGTCTATGTCTGGTTCTTTTGGCGAATTACTAGAAGAAGAACTTATGCAGGAGGGATTTAGTACCCTAGTTACTGGCATGGGAAAAATGTTAGGTGACACGGGGTTAAAGTTCTTGACTGAGAAAGATATGGAAATGTGAGTATTCCTATTCCTCTTGACCGAGAAATCCTAACAAACTGGTCCACTCCAGAATTACCAAAATTCTCCTTGATGCCATTCGAAATGGACTGTCAGAGGACGATATCAAACATAAGTTCGATGACTATGAGAATGACGGTGTGGACCTTTTGAATCCCCCGCCACCGAAAGATCCTGAACCAACCAGTCCCACTGGTTCTGATGATGATGGCGATGGAGGAAAAGCGGACCCGCAGGGTTCAGACGATGACTCCGATGCGTTTTCGGGAATCGATGACGGTGATCTCCCTCCACCGGAGAAAGACCATCATCCTTTTGATGAAGGGGAAGGTAAAAATGACCCCTTCAAACGCCGCAAAGGAAGGTACAGTACTCATTCTGCTACTACCTTGCATACATTTACGTGGAAGAAACGGCTGATACTAGTTCCAGATACTTTCTACCTGGGGGAAGCCCAGTGGGCTAGCAGCCATCGCGTATTGCAATATACTCAAAAGTACTTTTTCACTTCCAATAAATCAACAGAATGTTAAGAATTTCTTCAATTGTCACACTCTCTGTTGTGTTGTTCCTTTGTCTCGATAGCCACTGGACCTGACAAGGAGGTGGGTAGAATTAAGGGTTTGGACTGAAGCCCGGTGGGCTTACGTTATCAATGCTTGATCACGTGGCAGGTCAAAATTAGCGCATGCCAAGGCCGACATCCAAAGGCACTTCCTCCAACCATCCCAGAGCATCTCGGCCTTGTCCAACACTTGTTACGTGCGGATTACATTGCTTTGACTTTGCTAATTGCAACATAACAGGATAACATACCTATTTCCTGCTCAAATGGCCGACTATCAAGCTATCAAACCCCCAGATTCTCATGTTTCCCAAGTAATCCATGGATCCCATCAGAGGACCTTCTTACTTCGGAGTTATTGACATCATCTTGCGGACAATTTCTTTACTGGTCCGTTGAATCCTAATTGGCTACTGATTGAAGATGCTCAGCATTGACACTGGCATGATATAGAGTTGTCAATACATGCCAACATCACAATGAGTTGCTACTTAGCAGTCACATCTTGCGGCCGCTAGAAGCCTGCTTCTGCCTGCCGAACTTTACCAGAATTCCTGATAATTTCATTCTTTTTGCGCTAAATTATCCCTGGGTTATTGAAGTAGCAATCCATCAAAGTCCCATAGTCAATATGCTCTGCAAAAGGACTAACCCATTCTTTTGCCTCCTACGTCAATGAAAGCACATTAGAAGTGCTAGAAGAGAAAACGCCAGGATATTTGCCTGGTCATCCAGCGCTCGTGGAGATGATACAAAGGTCCGCGCCCGTGTTTGCCGCCCGTATCAGCTTCCTATGACTGGAGACTAAAGTATGGTCAGACGTATCTTGGGGGTGACCAATATAAATATTAGCGCAGCACATCTCTGATGTTATTTAGGGGACTGTTGCCTGCTACTGACAAGACTCGAACATTGATATTGGCTCTTCGGCACTTTTTTGTTGACCTCAGGCTATCGCCTTTCCGGACCAAACCTTGAGCGAATTGATGTTACGATACTCAATCTCGGTAAGCTAACGTTGAAACTCATTCTAGAGCTGATCGAACGCATCCAGGTGTATCTTTTGAAATGTGAACCGCATTTTACCCATTGTGTTACTATACCATACCAGAAAACACCTCCATTTTACCTCGTTCTTGTATATCGATTCCTTTCTTCATTTTCCTTTATCTACTGTTTTCTATCTACTATTTTTCATCTATCAAATTATATCTTATAGTATTCTCTTCGCAAAGCACCGACAGGTACGGCCGCCTCTACTTTGCTTTCTTCTTTTCGGTATTCTTCTTCTCCAAAACCACCTTGTCCTCTCTCCCGCACAACCTCCCAAGCCTGCTCACTTTCCATAACTGCAAACTTTTCCAAGCCGCAATAGACCCTCCGCGGATTACCATGGCTCAGTCTCTCATGTCCTCCACAAGCGGCCAAGCGGAAGAATTCTTTCGCTTTAAGAGCGTCTCCCAATCCCGGCGAGACTCCAGCATTCATTGCGGCGAGAGTGACGCCCAGATGCCCCGGGTAATCCCAAGAAGATACAATTCAACGGCGACTACGAACATCTCGAATGTTGTCACATCCCTCCAGCGCCGTACTGGAGAAGATCTGGGCACGAGTGCGTCTTCTAAGCTTCCGACAGTGACCTATGCTACGATCATGGAGTGGATCCGCTCTGAACGGATGGGTCTTATGCCTCCCGAGGGAAGTGACTACGACAAGGTTCTGGCCTGGGCGCAGCTTTTTGTTGGCCGACTCCACTCGTTCGACTTGGCAATTGAACAGTTCGCCGGGGACAGCTATCTGGCTGCCCAGGTTTCTTATGGTTATTGTGCCATGTTGCTTGAGGTAGATATCCACCACGCCCAGAATGAGAAGCAATGTATTTATGGCTGATGTGAAAATAAACTAGCTGGGGAAAGAAAACGCCGCAGCCTTGGTGGTTTCCTTTGGCTTTTTCCACAGCATTTCCATGCCACTCATTAACCTTCTCGAAAGGACGGAACTCTTCAATGTTACCCAGGAGATCCAGGAGCAGCTCATTCTGGCGCTATCAGACCTGGTTACGCTCATTGCGTGCGTGTCGACTTATTTCCATAAGGCAATCCGCGGATTAACCACCGCTTCGGTCTCTGTCAACATTTATCGGGCTTTTCCCAATCAGATCCAAAACTTCCACCATCGCTGCGAGAATATTGTCGAAGCCATGTGGAGACATCAGCTCATGAGAGAGAGTCTGGACGGAGATAAAGGTTTTATAACTCTCCGTAAAATATCTTTTAAGCCTACTGACCCCGTGCACAGTATTTGAAGTCAAGGCCATTCGGTCATGGCTGGCCCCGGAAGACCGTGCTCTCAACCATCTGGCTGACAACAGCTCCTACCTGGCTCATGACCGCGAGGAATTGACCTGTCTTTGGATGGGCCAGTATCTCACTCAATTCCTGAAGAGCCAACAGAAGCATCTCAGTATCGCTGGCCCACCGGGCTCTGGCAAGACGGTGCTGGCTTCCGTAATCGTCGATTACCTCCAACATTCTTGTGCGGGCGCGTCCTACCAGCCATTGCTCGTTTCAATTAGTATGAACTCTCCTCTACTCTTAGGGTATCATTGGTTGGATTGATTCTGACAAATGTAGATGGGAGAATCCCCGCTCAGACCAGTTATCATGCCATTGCGAAATCCATTCTCCACCAGTTGTTCGAGAAGCGCATCGGAAATGTTCATTTGTTCCGGATCCTAAGTCATGCGCTATATCAAAGCAGAGCAGCCACTGACCATGGGACCTATGATGCTATTCTCTGGGATGCGATTGACCAGGCTCTTCGCGCCGCTCTTCACGGCGCAAAAGAGTTGATCCTCGTGGTCGACGGGGTCGATGAGGCCACACGAGGTGAAGATGTGCTAATGCAGAGGCTAATCCAGGCGACCTCTGAAGGTTCCCACACCAAGTTGATCACTCTGGGCTCACAGACGCCTCCAGCCACGGCTGAACAGACTTCCGTTCGTATCACGGACGATATCATCTTTGATGATATTGTCGCTGTGGTGCGGGGCATTCTAGCATCTAGCAAGGCCTACCTCGAGCTGCCCTCGATCGAGCAAGAAACAACATTAGAGCATATTGCCCAAGCAGCTAAGAGCTCAGTTCTGTGGGCGAAACTCGTCACCAAACGCATCCGTGATGAACAGAACGCAGACAGCTTCCGCAAGGTTCTTGGCCGTCTGCTGTCGGCCAAGTCCACCATCACCGACCTTGTTCTTCATACAGTACAGCAGAAAGAGGTCACCGCCGAGGCAAGGCTCATGTTGCTTTGGCTGGCAACGGCTCAGCGGCCCTTGCACTTAAAGGAGCTGGCCGCACTGTCTTCCATCGAGATAGACGAACAAAAGATCTCTGACAAAATCGTGGATACTTTACATGTCCTGAAGCCGGTCAACTCGTTGGTGTATCTACAGAATGACTTTTTCTACCTCCGTCACGGTCTGATTCGTGCAGCTCTTCTCGAAGCCTTTTCTCGGGGCAAGTTGATCTCAGGGATTGCGGATCAACATATGAACCTGATGATTCGCCTCCTGATCTACATCAAAGCCAACGTCCCGGATAGCCACGAGTTGTCATCGGTGCCTTTCCTGGATCATCATGACGCCAACGCCCTCCTAGAGAAGAACGCATTGCTAGACTATGCACTGCGCTACTGGGTGCCCCATTTTCGATGGACAGCTGACTTCCACACCCAGGATGGCGAGAAGGCGGTGTCCAAGGAAGTTGCAAAAGTGCTACCCGGGTCGACGACCGTGATTTTACTCCTGCGATCAGTTTGGGAGAATCTCCCAACGCCGGAACTGGTAACATACCAGAACTTGGTCACCAACATCTTCCGCCACACAATGGGCACTGAGAGTGTGCCCACTCTTCAAGCCATCATCTCTTTGGCTACTGTGTACCGCCAGGTGAAAGGCCTTGATGCATACCCTCTGTTTTACGAGGCTGCCGTGCTCAGCCAGAAGTTGATGACAACCCGCCATGCTGTGACTATGCAAATGGCCTTAATCTTCCTCGAGCTGACCTCACCAGAAGTCACCGAGGCTAAGACGGATATTATGATGAAGCGCGAGGAGATGCTCCTCGTCTTAATTGAATGTTACAAGATCCATTACGGCCACTCGTCCGAGAAGGTTGTCGCGGTCATGGAGCAGCTGGTCGAGCATTACCGCTTAGTCAAGGAGGTTCACAAGGCTGAGACCTACGTTTCCATGATCCAATCAACAACTTCCACTGAATCTGGCGTTGTTGACAGTGTGTCTGGATCTCTCCAGGTCCACCTTGTGGGTCATAAACAGAAGACGGATCAAGGAGCTTATGTACTCTCCCTTGACATCGAAGAAGAGGATCAGTTGATCAAAACGGACGAGTTGCACGAAGTCCAGGACTCGATCAAGATGGCCGAGAAGTACATTAAGAGGGGGGACTTGGTAATGGGGGAACGCGTCTATGTTGAGCTCTGGCAACGAGTGACCCGGCAGTCCCGCATCCACCGATCTGCCGCGTGGGAAGGGAAGAAGATGACAGTCATCTTGGCGTACACCAACTTCCTGCGAATGCAGAACCGGCTCTCCGAGGCTTCATCAGTCTTGACCAGCTTCTGGCAGGACTGTGAGTATACGAGCCTGACACTCTCGGAATCAACGGTGACCCATCTCCAGGAGATTGCCCAAATGATGAGGACAGTTGGTCTATCCACGACCGCACTATCTGTCTTAAAGCATTGCTCAGAGTACTATCGCAACACACAGGGGACGGAGACATCGGCCTACCAAGAAACCCGGGAGCTCATTCAGACGATCAGCAAGGAAGCGGTGCAGTCTGCTAGCTCGAGTTCGACAACAACGCTCTCCGAAACTATTTTGGAAGAGATGGTCATCGAGATGTCGACTTCCGTAATTTCGGTAGATAAATCCTTTTATAGCAGTGTGGAAACACTCGTGGACTTGTACGTCTCGCAGCGGCGCTGGCAGCAAGCGATCAGCTTGATTGAGAAGATTCTGAGCAACACCTGGTCCTCAATATTTGTTACAACCTTGCAAGATGTGACGCTTCCACACAAAAACGCCGACTCTGCGTTGGCACTCGCTGAGCGCCTCGCCCAGTGCTACCACTCTCGCTACCGCTTAAGCAAGGAACAGGATATTCGTCTGAGGATCTATTACGCTGTACGATCAGGACTAAACATGGAAGACAAACTGAGACAACACCACATCACGGAGCTGCTGCTCCTTCTGGAACGATCTTCACAGACTGAGGCAATTATCAGCGTCTACCAGGAGTTACTGGCCGACTATACCAAATACTACGGCTCTGACCATATCATTGTCATTCAAACTCTCCACAAACTGGCCGAGCTCACCCGACCTCGGCCAATTTTTCTGGATTACTACCAGCAAATTATCCAGGCCTTGAATAAGGATGGCAAGCAGTGCCACCCAGATGCATTGGAGCCGCTCAACATAGTAACGATGGAGCTTTGGACGCAGGGCCGCTATTCGGAAGCCCTACACTACTGCACCATACTCTACACGGCATTTATCCAGCAGCCTAAACTCAGTCCCAAGTTCCAGGATCAGACCTTCGTGCGAGAGATTATCTCTCGCTATACACAATGCCTGCGGGCAGTGAGCACGGAGTACTCCGTGCTCCACAAGGTGACTGCGGAGTATCAGACCAAGTGCAAAGCTGTGTTCGGCGCCACAGCATCTATCACCATCCAGGCGACTTTAGCCCTGGCGCGTCTGTGCCAGGAATCTAGACATCACGAGATTGAGGCTATTCAGCTCTATGAGGAGCTTCGCCAGATTCGGTCCGAGGAGGTTGACGTGCAGGAGATTTCCGCGGCGCTGGATGCTCTATATGAAGAGCAATACACGAGAATTTCCTCCCAAGGAGCCTCTGAGTCTGTCTCCTCGGAGCAGACTAAACAGGTGATCCAGGTACTGCGAAAGCGAGTTAGCACCCTACGGGAAACATACGGCTGGGCGCATGAGGAGAGCCTAGCCGCGATGAAGGAAATCGTCAACCTGCACTTCAAGCGAAACGAGACAGAGCTGGCGATTCAGGAACTGCAGGAGGCTACAAGACAGGTCCTCTCTTCAGAGACTTCTGCGACATGTTTAAGCTTCGCGGCGGAGACTATTGTGTCTAGCTACATTGCAGCTCACCAGAGGCAGAAGGCCGTTGACCTCTTAGAGGAAGTCTATCGCCAGGTGATGATGAAGGATAATATGAACGTCAAGTCGACACGCTTCGATCTCACGTCGAGGAGTCGCGAGAGCCTCGTCTTTCTCGCTCAGCTGGAGCACCGTCTCCGCCGTCAGTCGTCGACCGTCACGGAGATCCTCGCTTCCTTGACGACGGAGCTGGTTTATTTTGAGGAGCTCCACCAGGGGATTCGCTCAAAAAGTTCCTTCCTCTCCGTCAGCCAATCAGCCGCCCGTCTGTATCAATTCCTGTTGAAGAACCGGCGGCACTCGATTGCTGATCTCGTGCTGAACGACTGCATTAAGTATTTCCTCACCACCGAAGGAAAACGCTGCGGCTTCAAGGCCTCCCCGGAAACAAACAGCTTCGTCACCATGATTCTGCACTACTTTAGCGAGCGACAATCTACTGATCTCGTCCGCTCGATCGGTATCGCCAGCAACAGCCAGGTCGCTAACCTGATCAAATCACAGCGGTATGACGAGGCACACGATCTGGCCCTCGCCTCGTTCAAATACATGTCGAACCAGGAAAGCTACCGCCGCAGCCCACAGATCGCGCGGTTCGTCCTAGCTCTGGCCGTCAACGTCGCTGCCCACGATGTCAGTCCTCAACCCGCGGAGGGCATACGGAAAAAACTCCTCAGCGCTTCCGCAACAATTGCCAAGGATGTCCTCAATGTTTTGTCACAGATGAATATCAATATCTCCAAAGTCGGCCTCAAGCACCTCGACACTTTAATCAGTGCCCTAGGTTCGCAGCAAGACTATCAGACCCTAGCCACTGTTCTCACCTCCATCTGGAACTCGCGCGAAGGGGAACGCGACTGGAATGCCTACGTTACTCTAGCTCTGGGCCGTCTAGTGATTATGTCCAAGTATCTGGTTGGTGAAATCCCCGCCGCCGTCCGGCTAGCCGAAGATATCGTCTACAACTGCCGCCGCGTCCACGGAAGCCGGCACCCGTTTGCTCTTGAAAGCTCCATCTTACTTTCACAGCTATATATCGGGGCTGCTTCCCACTACCAAATGCGCAAAGACGGCCACGAACTAGCAAATCGGTACTACAAGCGTGCCGCGCAGTTACACGAGACCGCTCTCCATGTCCTGGCGGACCCGACCTTTGCTGAGCTAGACGGCTCCCTAGAAGGTGAAACAAGCATCAACGGCCGTGCTTTGGAAACAGAGTCCCCTGGTTCCGCTGAAGGTTCCATGGACGCCTCCATTACGGGCGACCACGTCCGCCACCACTTCAATCTGTTGAAGCTCGCTCTTCAACGACTCGGTGCCTGGCCGAAGGATTTCGCAGAGTACGAACGGTTGAATGCGGATTTGTACCATGAGTATCCAGAGGCGTTACGGGGGATAAAGGGAGTCGAGAAATGGAATCTTAAGGCTTTTGGGGCTGGAAAAGCGGAGAGTGACGAGGATCAGATTGATATGGGGGGTAAGGATTGGCATTTTTGGGCGGAAAGAGGGAGACATGGGGAGGGGATGGGGGCTATTGCGGCATAGCAGTTTAAAAGAATGCATTCAGTGGTGATAATTTTTCACTTTAACAACAGCCTTTTGCTTGATGACAACGGCTCCAGTTGCAGCCTCATGTAAAGGACTACCGGTAGTTAGTTAGCTTTCATTCGGACGCAGGAATTCTGAGCATCAAACTCGATCCCGCGACTTTCTTAGCGTTTCTCGCTCTGTGTCTGTGATGCAGTTTGCAATTAGCTCAGTGCCTTGGTCTATGGACTGGAGCAGCATTGGTTGTGGCAATAGTTGATCGTGCCATAGATTTAGCTACAGATGAATTTTTTTTTATTTTTACTTGATGAAGCAATTTCACGACTCTGTAAAGACTCTCAGTATTCATCTATGCCCATGTGACTCCAACAGAGTGAAAACAAAAAGTCCAGGGATAGTTCCCGGTGTCAGTATGCGAATCCCGGCATTCGTGAACTTTGTTGGAGAAGCTCTCCTCGGAAATAGGAGCGCAGTTAACAAATCCACGAAATCCACAAAGCCGGATGACCTTGAGAAAAAAAAAAAAAAAGTGACGATTCTCTGCCGGCTTCTTAGCCATTCCATCACCGCTGGTAGGCTCTCTTGTAGAAAAAAAGGCCACACGTCACCGTACTTCACGAATCCCACAAGGAACCAAGTTAACTACAGAGTAGCTGCATGGAATCATTGGAGAAATGGAACACACACATCCCTGGCAACTCGGGAGTTCGGCTGAAGTGTGCGGACGAAAATAAACAGCTCTGAGTATTAGGTTCGATTATCATTACTGCGACCGCCGTCTCGCATCATTACATACATACAGAGCACACCCGGCATTTAGCTATTAAGCAGTTGATCGATCCAAAAGCCCATCCTTGGTCCTCACACGAATGCGCAGCGCCGCATCGGTTGTCTCCGACATGCGGTGAACGAGCGCAATCAACCCTTTGATGAAACGTGCCTGGACCGTATTACAACTCCCCCGCGCCTTTTTCTAGTGAGTAATAGTACACGACAAGAAATAATAATAACCACACACCCCCTGGACAAGCACAAGATCGTATTGTACATGCAGGATAAGCCCAAAAGAACTGGCGCAAGTCGAATCGCTGCGATGCTCGGCTCCTGGCCCTTTATTTTTTTTTTGGAAACAGCGTGGCTGGAAATTCAGAAGCAAAAGAGAAACACCGGGGTATCGCCAAGTGGTCAACACTGTGGCGCGAGGAAGTTGGCAGCTCCTGTGGGCCTGATGCTGGTTCGGATCCCCTCTTGGGGCGTTTCTCAGCCCTGCAACCTGAGGATGCGCGATGCGAACATGCTCCACGCGCCAACGCCGATATCGCCTTGGCGGAGTGGGGAAGGCCTCTTGACGAGTGCGAGCATGGTAACATCATGTCCAAGAAGCTGGGTATCAAGCTGAAGGGAGCAAGATCAGAGCATTTGAAAGGAAAGTCGGAATCCATCGTAAGAGATAAATAAGAGAAAGCGATATGTCCCGCTATGCACCGCCCAGCCAACCATGAAGAATATATACGCGGTCCCGAGTCAAACGAGGCGACAAGAAACGGAGAATAGGGCCGGCGAACGCTCGGAAATTGAGATTAATCATCAACAATCTATTTTTTTTTTCTTCTCGGAGTGGGCTTTAGTCAAACTCCATTTGTTGCCAATCAGCTACGGCGAGAGACGTCAGGGTAGATTGGGAGAAAGGAAGGGGTGCCGTCGGCTGGAAGTAGTCCAAATTGTCGCCGGACAACAGCGGATCATTACCGTGTACAAGACCAGGGCGTCCCATTTCGAACCTCGTGGGGAGTTGATATTCCCACAAGGATGGCCGAGGTGCATTCATCGAAGCCGTCAAAAGTTCTTGCCGCTGAGCCAGAGCCGCCTGTGATTGCTGGGAAAGATCCGTGGACTGAACGCTTGTAAAGGACGAGTAATCGCCAATCGAGCTTCCCGATTCCCGTCGGTTCGTCAGGTCGGGACGGTCGGTCATATATCGGTTCCGGAGCGCACTCACACTTTCCTCAAACGGCTCTTCCATCTCGTTCAAAACACCCAAGGCCTCGAGGATTTCGTGTGTCAGGGGACGGCCGTTGCACTCTTGCACCGGCTTACCCGGCCATCCCTCGCCCTCTTGTACTCGCCTATAGAGCAGTCGAAGACCGGCCACCAGCTGGTTCTGCTGCTCTTCTAACATCTCCATATAGCTGGCGAAACCAGGGAACCTGTTGCGTCATTCAACCAATCTCAACCTAAAACTGCATAGTGGGAAACGAGGGCTCGGGAGCTTACCCTTTGGGGTACACCTTTTCCTGTAGCTTCTTTCGCTCTCCGTACTTACAAATCGTATTGTCGGTCCTGCACCGTTGGCAAGGATGGCTCCCGTCGCACTAACGGGGGAAGAAACGGGAAGCATCAGTAAAACGGGCACTATGGACGGGGCAGGCTTATTGAGTTCTACCTTTGACTTTTTCATTCTGCACCGGTCGCACGCTTTGCCCACCCTTTTCCGTTTAATCTCGTCTCCGCTCTCTGGCGTAGACGAATGCCGGGAGGCCATGGCTGTGCTGAGGGAGTCCTATCTGCAAGTATATTGAAATTGACGAGAGTATCCAAACCGCGTTTGGACACACTAGGAAAACAATAGGGGGTTCCCAGACTTTTAAGCCTTGGGTATTTCTTCTACAGTGTAGTTGGTCGGGGATGATGTATGTTTAACAGCCCAGCGCCCACGGGCTGGAATAAGGTATCCGGATGCGCAGAGTGTTTCCCGTGCCGGGTTGCCAATGTCAGGATGGGAGGAGAAGCTCTCCAGCGGGCAGCAGGCCGGAAAGAGCGATGGATATCTTGCGCAATTGGAGCAAGGGCGTGATGGACGGGAGGTGCCTGAGGCGCGAGGATGGCTATGCAAGCAAGAAAGGGGGAGTGGTATCAAGCAGGGCGGAGAGGTTCCTGTAAGCAGTAGTGGTAGGATGAAGCAAGCCGTTTTGCTGGTCGAGGCTTGATGGTATGGAAGTTCGAATGCCAGGAGCATAACAGAGGAGGGATGGGTTGAGGGTGGGCTCGAGGAGAGTATTATTATATCACCGCAGCTGGACTAAGGTTTAGGCCATGGTACAGGGCCAACACCAGGATTATCGATCGGTCGGGCTAAGACTTTGAGCAGTTCCTTTTCCCTGGTTGATGGAGGAACAAGAAACCAACGGACAAATCATAAATTATATTGGGTTTTCTGGAAGCAGAGCAAAATTACCAAGAGAACGTCCGTGGAACCGTGGAGCATCATGGCACGGCTCCGTTTGACAGGACCCAATTTGCCAGGATCCCGATTCTGTGCATGAATTCAGCCTGGGGCTTGTTGAGCTGTATTTTATTTACAATTTGTTTCTGCTTGTGTTGTTGCTACTCTTTTGGAGGCACAAGATTCTCGGCGTTCTCAGGGCCATCTTGGCCGAGCGGAGAGGAATTCGCTGCCAAGCGGAGAAGGGAAAATTGCTTGCAAACTGGGAGGCAGCGAGTCCCAAGCTTCTTGGTGTTTTGGCGAGCGAAAATACCGCATAACTAGATTACGCAGGCGAGATGTATCGAGGATCACGATGATGCCGCTGATGCTCAGGAGACAGAGGTCACTATAACTAGTAGATGCTTATTTGCATTCGGCTCCCGGACCACGGAGCAGGCCTGGCCGTTATGACGATACATAGCGTGCTGTAACATTACCACCTCGCTCGCCAGAGATCTATAACTATGTGTGTGCATTCACTCAGAAGCGAAAGCCGGGTCGATGAATAACAAGATTCGCTTCTCCTTCTCCGGCCTCCAGAGTTGCAGGTTGACTTGTCCCTCGTTGCTGCGACCTCGACCAGCCTTTTACGTTTGCGCCCCTCGACGTGACGGTATGCTTACAGGGGTTTCCGTGCAGGACGTTGTTTTCAATACCGGAGCCAGTGAGTGCGGTTTGCTCCGCGGTGCTTGTCAGCATAACTCCACGCGTGGAACTCGCTCCTTTTTTTTATTTTTATTTTTTTATTTTATTCTTTTTTAAGCCTGAGGTTGACTTGTGACTGGAGCTAGGGTCGGCACCTTAGCCGTTGTTCGACGAAGCACTCTTCGCAGCAGCGACAGAGCACTTGACCGACTCAGTGTAGCAGACGCGATGAGTCAGCCGGTTGAGTTGCGATGCCGAAAGAGTGGAGCTGGAGCGAGCGGGCTGTCGTGCTGAATAATCCGAGTTATGCATTCCGACCGCGCACACACAATCCGAACGGACGGCTGAGCTGTCTCCCAGCGAGATGAAAAAGGGGGGATAACGCGATGCTTGAGGTCAAGGGCTGATCTCGCATGGCGTAACTACGTGGTGTGCTCCGCCTCCGTAATCTGCATCAGGGTCCCCCCGAGGATGCACCAGCCTCCAACGGCTTCACAGTTGGTTTCCGTAGAATGAGGGATGCAAAATCCCAACACCATGCATTCGCTCATCCCAATGAGGGCAAGCCCCGAAAACGAGATTGCTGCTGAATCGGCATGAGCCACCCGAGGAGGGGACAGGTGTCCTTTGATACGATAGGGCGCATGGGGTTTCGTTCTTTTACTCTCAGTCCGCGCAGAATGGCCGCAAGCCTGGAAGCCAGCCCCAGTTATGATGACTATTATGGAGCGCCCGCCTGGCTCTTCGACTCGTTACATGTTGGCACCTCGGCCACACAACACGCCCAATCGGGCAAGGAGTGCGCCGACGGCAGATCGGGATTGCAAGCATCGCCAAACTCCAGCGTAAACTCCGGACACGCCCGATAGCCTACCTGATGAAGGAGCTGTTTCTGGCCGATCATCGTATTCGCAATGCAGGCGAGAACGATGGAAACAAAAAGAGCCCAAGTCATCATCATAATTGTGCTGCCTGGAGAGAACCGCTGGGATTGCTGGCGTCTTGGCCCCCCAACCCAATGATGACTAACCACCCTGGCACTGTCACCACCTCGAACTGATAATATATATAAACATAGCCCATCCGTGGCTATTGATACCATGAAACAGATATTTGGCACTCAAGTGGAATTCCACAGTGTCGGACCATGGGAATATGCTGGCTGCCTCGAATAGGCTGCTATGCAGACCTCCAACTCAAAGACAGTCCATCGTGACGTTGGATTGATGTCAACCTCATGGCTTCGAATATACATATCTGGACGTCGGGGGGCTTATTTGACAAGACTTCTTTACAGTCCCCCGAGCACCCAGATTGCGTTCTCGAAAAGCCCACTGGAGTATATTGTCACCATGAGACAACCGTCGATGTTCGAAAAATGGGTTACAATCCCCCTTCGACGTCTATACCTCAAATCTTCCAGCTTGTGGAAGAAGTACCGGACTAAAGCCCCATCAGGATCACCGGGCGACTCATTGCTCTTTCAATTTCCATGCGATGTGGTTTATTATATGGTGTCCAATACAGGTCTCTCCCAAGCCGACAAGTTATCGCTAGCGCTGACATGCAAACCTCTTTGGAACTTTTTGCACGGGCAGAAGATTCTGGACAGACTTGTATTGCGAGATGACTGGGAGTTTTATCCAGAAGAAAAACAAGAGCGCGTTGACTTTCTCCGGCGGATTGAACTTTTGTTTCCGGCGCGTTTCCTCTGTTACCGATGTGCGATTTACCATCACCCATGCTGGCACTGCCTATACATCCTCCATCTCACAGCGTGTGAACAGGAATCCGGCGTATTTCAGGTGGCGTATTATACTTGTTTATCCTTCTCCAGAGCTCATGAGATTATAAAACGCTCTCGATACGGCGACTTGCGCCCCCTTACCGACATTCAATACTGCTTTACAGACCAAGGAGTTGTTTCAAGATTCAGCGCCAGGATCGTAGCCGGCGAGCTGGTCGTGAAACTAGATTCTTCAATTCTATTCGTGCGAGGCGACCTCAACTCCAAGGCGCGGGCGTTGTGGAATCTGGAGACATCCGGCCCTCCCCACTGGTATCATATCCGCCGTGCGTTCCGTTCTCTAGAAACCACGGAGAGCGCGCGAATTCGTTTACAGTGCAAAGAGTGCCGCCGCGAGGGCCACCTCACTCTCAGCCCTGCATTTGATGCCGTTCGTGGTGAAGTTAGGTTTACTCAATGGTGTAACTTGGGCCCCTGCAGAGACCCTGCCGACCGCACATGGCAGCGGGTATCCGGAAGCTGTCACGGGCGTTGGGTCCCGCCTCCTTTTTTCGAGTCGGAATATCAACAATACTTTGATGACGTTTCTCCTCGGTTTTCGCGACGAAAACGACCAGTGTGCATCCCTAGTCGTGCCCCTTGAGAAGCTGGTATTCTTGCTAATATGTATGGAGTATATGTCCTTTCAACTCCAGCCCCTTTAGACTTAATGGTAATCTACTGTATTTTATTCTTCAAGACCACCAATCAAGCTCCTGGCAAGTGTCTTTTGATGTCTACACAAACATTTGCAAATGTAAAAGAAACTCGCTGACAACCGCATCATATTCAAACATACTATATACAAAATGCCCCACCAGCCACCCCTCTCTCCTCTCAAAAAAACGAAAGGAAAAAGGCATAAAATGAAAGCAAAAACAAATATAGATGCAGATACAAATAACCATTAGAGTACCAAACACGACGTCCCACGTACTGGGACGTCCGTCAACCTAGGCGCGTATACGGTCGGGAATGAGAGGAACTACAGAGTAGGTTAGCATGCAGAGAGCAAAAGGAGTACGAGAAGAAAAAGCCAATGATAGACATAACAACGGACGGGATAAAAAAACAAGCAAAGCAAATGAAAGCGATATAAAACCAAATAGCGAATGTGTTGGGATATGTGACGGGGAAGTATAACTGAGCTTTTTGCTGGGACCAGCAGAGACAGGAAGAGAGAGAAAGAGAAGATGGAGAGGAGGGAGGGGAAACAGGAGCAAAGCCAGCAATATATAGACAGCCATGTCAGGCTGTTGGGAAAGAAGCAAGCAGTGCGGAGGGCCTTTCGTGTTGAGATATCAGAAAAGCTGGAGGGAAAGCATGAGGCGCGAGCTGATGGAAGCCTCCACCCGAAGAATCTGCAGGAGCGCAGAGCATCCCATACCAACTAGGCAACCCGGCATGCTCGAGAGCTGTAGTCAGTGAAGCGCATCATGACAGTCCTGTGGTGTGTTCTCTTTTAGCTGGTGTGGTAGGCGCTGTTTTCTTTTCTTTATTGAAGGCCACATTCCCCATGGATGAACCCAAGCCTCAGGCAGCACTTGTGTCTAAGATGCCGGTGGGTGAGGCATCCACGAGAAAGGCCACTATTTTGCACTGCGAAGCCACAACTTACATCAGCCTGTTAGCTGGCAACTGGCTTCAGTAGCCCCGTATGCATTGTATACACCTCAGGCTCGCAAGAAGGCGTATGGCAATTTGGTTGTGCGTCTAAAATCGGAGGTTTTTTTTATTATTTTCGTTTCGGTTGTTACATGTTCGTTCCAGTACAGAGACAGCCTTGGTTGCTGTAATTTGTGACTTACGCATCGTAGGCACGCTGGCCCATGAATCCATTTGGATACCGGCTCGCCTGGAACGGTTGAGTCCTATGAGTGGGCCAATGTCAGCGAAGAGTTCGTGGTTTTCATTGCGTGCTGTAACTGGAGAGATTTTGTATATTCCAAGGCAACCATCCCCTTCTCTGTCTAAGCTCAGGAGGCGAATCTCGTGGGTTCCTTGATTCTGCGGCTGGGGATACCTGTCATTCGTCTTCGGCTTTTGGATGACAGCTGTCAAGTTTTGACAGGCAGGGGCCCGCAAGCCAATCGATGTGCCACCACGTGCGGCCAGAGACTTTTATGATGTCAACGCCCGAAAACGGTTATTGGAATGATAACTCTGTATAAAATTCAGATTTCCCTTTTACGGCAATAAGAAGTGGCGAAATCAGGCCTATGACGAGCTCACGGGCGGGTTTCCAGTTTCGGAGCGCAGTCTCCATGGAAATACTTACAATAGAGCCAACAATACCATACAACTAAGTCAAGGGGGACACACTATAAGCTTCAATCTCGATGCACATCCTGCGTACGGGAGCGCAAACCTAAGGGTGCGACGTGCGGCAGCACCCCGCGCGTCCCGCTGTTTCAATGCCATATAAGCTCGACCGGTGACGTCGCATCAAAAAATCCCTGGAATTGCCCGACAAAAAGCCGGCTTGACTGCGGCGAAAAAACCATGTTCGCAGTCTGGAATCGCCGACGAAACGCCGAGCCCACGCCAAGCCCAATTAAGCCTTTTAGCGCCGTGCTTGGCAGTGCAGCCCTAAACTCAAACGAGCCACTCGGCTTTTGCTTGCGATTTCCGCTGCGCCACACAGTCTACACACGACGATAAATAGTGGCAGGCGTACTCTAGGGAGTAATAATGATATGCAAGCAAAGGGAAGATGTACTCGGAATGAGTTCGGAGCTAAAAGCACAATCCGTCCAGTGGACAAGGTTGACAAAAACGCAACTGTTTTTGGTCCCTTCACTTGCAAGGCCAAATCCTGATCGTCGCTCGTCATAGCGGCATCTAACTCGCTATCAAGACGTAAAAACGTATATACTACGTGGGCAGTCATCCCCTCCATGATGTCAGTTTCCCCGGGAGGCCGATTTGGACAAATCCGCCTGTTCGTGCGATATCTGGAGAATTGGCGTTTTCGCCTCCTGCCTTGCGACGATTGATCTCCGTTTCTGGCTCATGGAGATATCTAGATACCAACATAACTTGATTCACAACGAGTTATTTCCCCCGCGCCCTGGGCCGGGGAAATGATATCAGAAATAACGAGAAGCTGCCGTGATATGTCATCAACACATCATGGTTAGAACTGATCAAGACAAAAGGTCAACGGGGCAAAAAGGAAAAAAATGGACTCCGTTGTAGAACGGTTGGAAAAATCGACAAGACAAGCATGGAGAAGGGGGGAAAAAATATAAAAGAAAGGAAAAATCAATAAAAAAAGCGCCCCCATATAGATAATAAGCACTTGGCTGGATATCATCATCAAACCCCCTGCAACTTAGAGAAAATAGCGACAGCGCCCCCAAAAAAACTCCACATTAAACCTCAACCTCAACGCACAGTCCGCCGCCATCTGACGTCCCAGTCCCTGTCCCGTCGTCTTCATCTTCTTCCCCATCATATCCATCAGGCGTCTCGTTCCTTCGAGGATAAAAATCCTCCCGCCGACGATGACGGCGCTGAGATGACTCATACTCTCGACTTTCGAGGACCATTTCACCATGCCGTTCGTCCCCATCCAGGTCCGTACTAGTATCAGGCGTCTGACGATGACCAGGCTTATTTCTAGTGCGCGCCGACTTGCTCTGCGAACCCTTCGTTTCAAGAACACCACGGCCGGTGCGTTCGTTGGCGCCATCGACCGCGCCGGGCGGCAGTCCAGGACCGTGCTCTGCGGTTTTGCCATTCGTTCTCTTTCCAACGCTGCTCG